ACTAGTACACTCACTAGTACACTCACTAGTACACTCACTACCTGAGCCTGCTGGGCAACACAGCCTGTCCACACGAGCTGTCTGGTGGGGAGTGGGGAGACACTGACTATCACATATACAGGTGAGTCACTAGTACACTCACTAGTACACTCACTAGTACACTCACTCACTCACTAGTACACTCACTAGTACACTCACTCACTAGTACACTCACTCACTAGTACACTCACTCACACACTAGTACACTCACTAGTACACACACTACTACACTCACTAGTACACTCACTCACTAGTACACTCACTCACTAGTACACTCACTCACTACCTCAGCCTGCTGGGCAACACAGCCTGTCCACACGAACTGTCTGGTGGGGAGTGGGGAGACACTGACTACCATATATACAGGTGAGTCACTAGTACACTCACTAGTACACTCACTAGTACACTCACTCACTAGTACACTCACTAGTACACTCACTCACTAGTACACTCACTCACTAGTACACTCACTCACTCACTCACTAGTACACTCACTCACTAGTACACTCACTCACTCACTAGTACACTCACTAGTACACACACTACTACACTCACTAGTACACTCACTCACTCACTAGTACACTCACTCACTAGTACACTCACTCACTAGTACACTCAATCACTAGTAAACTCACTACCTCAGCCTGCTGGGAAACACAGCCTGTCCACACGAACTGTCTGGTACAGAGTGGGGAGAGGCAGACTACCGGGTGTACAGGTCAGTTACTCACTAGTACACTCACCCACTCACTAGTACACTCACTCACTAGTACACTCACTAGTACACTTAGTGGCGAATGGCGGTTGTTGTTGTTGTGTGTGTCTATCTGTGCGTGTGTGTCTGTGTGTGTGTGTCTAATCTCCGACTCCCAGGAAAAGGTTTGCAGATTTGCTGAGCATTTCTGTGAGGTCCTGGGGGAGGGGAAATCTCTCAGCCAGGAAAACATCGTGGCACAAAGTGGTGATGACCCTGCTGAGGCTGCGGTGCCTCAAATATTGGAAGAGGTCACCCCCTGTGAGTGGCTGGCTGAGGTGCCATCTGTTGAGGAAGTACTGAAGGCGATCCGGAGTCTGAGACTAGGAAAGGCACCGGGCAGAGATGATCTCCCAAGCAAAATGCTGAGGGAGGGTGGCGTTTGTGTGCAGACTGCCCTACATGACATCATAACAACAGTCTGGACCACTGGACGGGTTCCGCAGGATTGGAAGGATGCCCTGGTGGTCCCCCTCTTTAAGAAGGGAGACCGCACAGACTGTAACAACTACAATAGCATCTCACTTCTCAGTGTGCCGGGAAAGGTCCTGGCAAGGATTATTCAACATCGCCTTGCTAGGCACGCTGAGGAGAGGCTTGCGGAGCCCCAATGCGGTTTCAGGAAAGGGCGGTCCTGCACAAATGCCATATTTTCTGTCTGTCTGCTACAGCAGAGGTATAGGAAATTCCAACAAACCTACATCTCTGCTTTATTGACCTGGTCAAGGCCTATGATACCATCAGTAGGCCTGGGCTCTGGGTTGTTCTTCGTGCTTTCGGAGTCCCTGACCCTCTGCTCACGATCATTAAGGCCCTTCATGATGGTGAGCGGGTCCGGGTAAAACTACGTGGCCGGGAGTCGGAGCCTTTCCCTGTACACCTTGGGGTGCGACAGGGATGTCCTCTGGCTCCCACATTATTTAACATCTATTTTGACTGCGTAGTTCGTGAAGCCTTCAATAGCTGTACCGGGGGAATTTCCATTTTTTGTACAGATATAATGGGAGGCTGATCGACGCCCGGGTGCGATCAAGGGATGGCTCCCTATTGGTCAACCACGTTATGTATGCCGATGATTTGGTAATAGCTGCTCATTCAGAAGAGGAGTTGGAGACGCTGCTGCTGAGACTGGAGCGTGCCACTAAGAGGTGGGGCCTTACCATCAGCCCCACCAAAACTAAGCACCTGCCTGGGTATTTTGTACCATCGGACACTCCACCCCCACAACTCCCAATTGGTGATGGGGCAGTTGTGGAGAGAGTGGAGAGTTCCCCATACCTGGGCAGTGTGCTTATGACCGGCTCCAGTTTATCAGCAGAGGTCTCACTCCGAATCAGTCGAGCGGCAATATCTTTTCATCGGTTGCGTAACGCTGTGTGGAAGCTACCTGGTCTGTCGCTCCGCACGAAGCTTCAGGTCTTCTCGGCCACGGTCATTCCCTCCCTTCTCTACGCTTGCGAAACGTGGACCCCCCTAATGGAGCATCTTCGCCGGTTAGAAACATTTAGGCTGGCCTGCCTACGATCCATCCTCGGTTTAACCAGGCTGGATTGTGTGAGGAGCTCACAAATCCTTGAAAGATCTGGGCAAAGTCCCATCGGTGAGCTCCTCCGGCAGGCAAGGCTGCGTTGGCTGGGTCACGTAGCCCGCATGCCCAGCCACCGCATGCCTAAACAGCTTTTGTTCGGCCGGATCGAGGGGGTTAAACGGGCGCGGCACGGGCTAGAGAAGAGATGGAATGATCTGGTACAGGAGGACGTGGAGCTGAGTGGACTTGCCGATGACTGGTACCAGCGGTGTCAAGATCGGCCTCTGTGGAGGAGGCTCGTGAAGGATGCTACTGGGCAGTTGGAGGCAGTCTCCCTCCAACAACAACGGAGGGCGGAGGAGCGACGCTCACAACAACGAGCGGAGCGCCGGGTGGCTAAAGCACAGCAAGTTGGCACAGTAGGGGGCACAGGTGGTGCATCAGCCAGTCATCTCGGTCATCTCGGTCAGTCGACCCGTGGCACCTGCTGGGTCTGCCCCGTGACCTCCTGCCAGCGGGCGTTCGACACTTCACGTGACAGCCTCAAGGTGCACTTGGCCTGGCACAAGCGTCGTGGTGACGTCACCGCCACTTAGTGGCGAATGGCGGTTGTTGTTGTTGTTGTGTCTGTCTGTGTGTGTGTGTCTGTGTGTGTGTCTATACTCTGTGTGTGTCTATCTAGGTGTGTGTGTCTATCTAGGTGTGTGTGTCTATCTAGCTGTGTGTGTCTATCTCTGTGTGTGTCTGTGTCTACCTGTGTGTGTGTCTGTGTCTACCTGTGTGTGTGTGTCTATCTCTTTGTGTGTGTGTGTCTATCTGTGTGTGTGTGTCTACCTGTCTGTGTGTGTGTCTGTGTGTGTGTGTGTCTGTGTGTGTGTCTGTGTGTGTGTGTCTACCTGTGAGTGTGTGTGTCTGTGTGTCTGTCTGTGTGTGTGTGTCTGTGTGTGTGTCTGTGTGTGTGTGTCTACCTGTGAGTGTGTGTGTCTGTGTGTCTATCTGTCTCTGTGTGTGTGTGTCTACCTGTCTGTGTGTGTGTCTGTCTGTGTGTGTGTGTCTGTGTGTGTCTCTGTGTGTGTGTGTCTACCTGTCTGTGTGTGTGTCTACCTGTCTGTGTCTGTCTGTGTGTGTGTGTCTGTGTGTGTCTCTGTGTGTGTGTCTGTCTGTGTTGTGTGTGTCTGTGTGTGTCTCTGTGTGTGTGTGTGTCTACCTGTCTGTGTGTGTGTCTACCTGTCTGTGTGTGTGTCTGTCTGTGTGTGTGTGTCTGTGTGTGTCTCTGTGTGTGTGTGTGTCTACCTGTCTGTGTGTGTGTCTACCTGTCTGTGTGTGTGTCTGTCTGTGTGTGTGTGTGACTGTGTGTGTCTCTGTGTGTGTGTAACTGTGTGTGTGTCTGTGTGTGTCTCTGTGTGTGTGTGTCTACCTGTCTGTGTGTGTGTCTACCTGTCTGTGTGTGTGTCTGTCTGTGTGTGTGTGTGACTGTGTGTGTCTCTGTGTGTGTGTCTACCTGTCTGTGTGTGTGTCTACCTGTCTGTGTGTGTGTCTGTCTGTGTGTGTGTGTCTGTGTGTGTCTCTGTGTGTGTGTGTGTCTACCTGTCTGTGTGTGTGTCTACCTGTCTGTGTGTGTGTCTGTCTGTGTGTGTGTGTGACTGTGTGTGTCTCTGTGTGTGTGTAACTGTGTGTGTGTCTGTGTGTGTCTCTGTGTGTGTGTGTGTCTACCTGTCTGTGTGTGTGTCTACCTGTCTGTGTGTGTGTCTGTCTGTGTGTGTGTGTGACTGTGTGTGTCTCTGTGTGTGTGTCTACCTGTCTGTGTGTGTGTCTACCTGTCTGTGTGTGTGTCTGTCTGTGTGTGTGTGTCTGTGTGTGTCTCTGTGTGTGTGTGTGTCTACCTGTCTGTGTGTGTGTCTACCTGTCTGTGTGTGTGTCTGTCTGTGTGTGTGTGTGACTGTGTGTGTCTCTGTGTGTGTGTAACTGTGTGTGTGTCTGTGTGTGTCTCTGTGTGTGTGTGTGTCTACCTGTCTGTGTGTGTGTCTACCTGTCTGTGTGTGTGTCTGTCTGTGTGTGTGTGTGTCTGTGTGTGTCTCTGTGTGTGTGTCTACCTGTGTGTGTGTGTGCAGGTGTGCGGTAGTGAGGGCTCTGCCCGGCCTGCGCTTCCTGGACGCTCTCCCCGTGACGAAGG